CAAAAGGCCACCCGTATTGACTAACATCATCCACGTAGGTTTTGATGTTTATCGCTCGTCTTTTGTGTCATTCTAATGATAAAGCGCCCCTGTTATGAGGTCAAATCACAAGCACATTAAGACAGTCAAATTGCATTTACACACGCGAAGTTATTGGTATAATGGTACATAGTCCTACAGATAAAAACAAGATTTGGATTGGTGGTTGCTTAATTCAGGGTCAATTATTGAATATGTGTGTATCCCATTCACACCTTTTCTCGTTTTCATTAGCAGATCAATTGTATTGCTCACAATCTTTAAAGAAATAAAGGTAAAAAAAAACTGATAAAGATACATAGATACAAAGACAGAAAATGAACACACTGTAAGAAAAAAACAAAGAATAGCATTAACGGTAAAAAAAATATGAATTTGTCTGCGTGTTTGGAACAATATCTAGGTTTTGTAAACTGAAAAGACAGTAATCATTATATTTTGAAAAAAATAATTTTGAATTGTCAAACATTCTCCAAAAACTTACAATTTTTAGATAGACAATATAATATCTGATTTATTTCAATTAAAGAAATCAGTAATAATGTGCTTACGTTCGTGTGTGTGTGTGTGTGTTTCATTTTGCATGAAAGTCAGTAAACTTCAACGGACTGAAAGTCCTCAGGCTACTTGTCGAAAGCATTAGCATTTTATGTTTAGGTCATATTTCGTTCTGATCGTTTAGAACAATATTTGTAGAAACCAAATTTATTATTGACAGTTTTCTTATATTTTGATGGCCTGTCTGGTGTGTTTTACTTTTGACATAATCTCACAATACTCTTTGGTTATGAGTATTTACAACGGTCCGAGAAGACACATTTAATTCGGCACTTACATTATATCAAAACGTTTAATTGAGCCTTGTTTTTATATTTTTTGTTGTTTTTGCTTTTAGAAAGATGATAAACTTCTGAGAAGCAATTCATACCGAAAATTTTCACTGCTTTTATGCACTTTTTGCTTTTACACACGAGAGTAACATAAAATGCTATACATCTCACTTTTATTATTATTATTATTATTATTATTATTATTATTATTATTATTATTATTATTATTATTATTATTATTATTATTATTATTATTATTGTTATTATTATTATTATTATTATTATTATTATTATTATTATTATTATTATTATTATTATTATTATTATTATTATTATTATTATTATTATTATTATTATTATTATTATCATATTAACGTTCTCCTTATCTGCTATCTACTTCTTCTTCTTCTATCGCTGCACCATCGCACCAAAGTTTAAATTTATTTCAGCAATTAACTTACGAATAAGTAACATTAATTTTGACGAACGTTTAAAACTTGTTATACCTGAATGTATTGTTTTACCTTGATTTTAGTGACAGTGTCAAGGATTTCAAAAGATTACGTACGAGCCTATATCGAATTAGTTATATAAAGAAGTGTAATAGTTAAAAAAAAATCATTGGTGCAAATAATATTATTTGCGTACACTGTAAAATGTAAAATAACTACGAAAAGAACTTTACTGCGACCAATGTATTGCCTTAGCAAATAAAACAATCACAGGAAAGAAACAAACATTTGACTTAGTGCTCAGACGATATAGTCTGTTTCAAAAAGTCTCAACACGAAAATATTGCAGCGGATATTAGTGAATACAAATGATTAAATTACACACGGACAGAAGAATCAGACTCCTTCGCAATTTCTTATTTCTTTTTTTTTCCAGAAACGAGATTGAAGTGTTACCTTTCACAGTCTTGGAACTCTCATACTGTCGGGTAAAATATTAAAGACTACATCACTCGCAGATCCGTGTTAATGATTATACCCCCCCTCTCTCTCTCTCTCTCTCTCTCTCTCTCTCTCTCTCTCTCTCTCTCTCTCTCTCTCTCTCTCTCTCTCTCTCTCTCTCTCTCTCTCTCTCTCTCTCTCTCTCTCTCTTGATTGCGTCAGACATTTTTGGTTTGCCGTGAAGTACTTTGGCTCTATTTTGATATGGTGTGGTCCACGTGGGTTTGAGTCTCAGGCCAGGCTGATGCGGTTATGTGAGAAAGCTTGCCATTATATCTCAAGTGTATCAGTGATTCTTACTGGGATTTTCCGGGTTCCCCCACCAGTTATGCTGGTCGCCATGTATACCATGCACTGAAAATAATATTAAACACAAACAAAAACAACATAAATTAGAACAATGTGCGAAATACTGATCTTTTCATTTAAGTATGCATCGTTTCTAATGTATGCTTGCTTTTAGTTGTTAAATGAATAAGATATTATAGGCGACTGTAGTTGTCAATAAAAACTCTTATCTAGTTTCCTATTACCTCAAACCACCAAGTTGTTCGTTAAAAAATGCTTGATTTTTTTGCTTCTGAGTCTTTAAAAATACCTCACTTTTTATGAGCATTTCATATTTGTTATGTCTTGAACATATTCCAGTAAAACTATAATACCTATCATTCGGCAAGATTTAATTCATATGGCCTAGTTTTCTTTTAAGCTTGTAAATATATCCATTTTAAAATGTATCGATAACACTCTGATTATATAAACACTGGCGCCTTGAAGACGAAAGCGTCGACCCTGATCTACATAATTATTCTTATCGCCCCAAAAAAGGTCGTTTAGTAGCTCTTGCGTGGACACGGCTACTTTCGAAAGTGATGGTTGCCGTCAAAAAGTTTATGGTACACATGTGCACAGATGCACATAAGAGCCACAGAAAACGAGAGGGGATGGAAGGGGTGAATAAATAGTACCCTACCTCTTGGATTCCTCCGTTGCATAACGAATTTAATCAATCTTACAAACAACAGTCATAGTATAATACTTGATTTATATATGTTGGCACTTCTCCATCCTTTAGCTAACGGCCTTCGATGCGTTCCCCTAACTAGATTCCAAAATATTCAAGGCTTTTATGTTTCTGTTTTTCCTCCGTGATATGTAAAATACTTTGACGCGGTCTGGGTTTCTTATATCGGAAGTTGTCATTTGTAAGCGTTTAACATCTACAATGCGATTGGATTCTGATTATACATGTATGAATGTCAGAAAATGTAGCAGCGTTTATAATTCACTATTAAAGAGATGGTAAATGGTGAATCTGTCAAGCCTGCACTTAATATTGAAATAAGGCAAATATTTACAAGTTTAAACACCTAAAAAGAAGTTTTGCGCATTCGACCTGTCCAAAATTAATCCAGTCTTTGTTTTTATTGACATCTTTTTTTAATCAACCCCATTATTTAATATTGTTTTATTTCGAACACAATCAGTAAGATCTAAAGAGACTTGTAACGTAACTGCTCCAGGAGACAGGCTTCAAACAATTTCTGCGGTGTCAGAGTCGAGAGCGTGAGCTAGTTTTTAACTCTCTTCATTCGTTACATAAAATTCTGCCACTGATATCTTTCCCTGGCGGAAGATACTTTGTAACCCTATAATCTCGAAAGAAAGTGTCCAATAGAGAAATAACGTTTCGAGACTAAATGAAACTAATTACGTGTCAGAAGGGTCTGGAATTATCGATCTAGGTTTTTTTTTTAGATTCCAGTGTTATGTAATTTAATATTTTGTTTTTGAACAAAAAGTTCGCTTGTTATGACTGAAAGCATTTTAAAACAAAAAATTCGGTAAATTAAGGAAAAGAAGATTAGATTTTTTCATTAAGGAATCTTAGCTGTATATGTTTAACATTCCTCTGGACTCTACCCCCCACCACCACGACATCAAAACCAATGACCACAGGCAAATAATTCGTATTCTAGAACTAATGTAACTACATAAAGCATATTGTCAACTTCACCATTCATGTTTCAAGTCGTGTGCATCCTTGGTATTATAGCAGACAACGGTCAAATCCTACATAATCATTACAGTCACATAAGAACATAAATGCCATTTGTACCTCACGAAAAATATATTTTCTTGATACTTTTCCAACATTCTCTGTCTAGTTAATCGGGTAGATAATTACTTCCACCTATAAGAGCTTCCAGAATAAATTTTATATTTTTTCTGTATGACAAAATCTATATATTTTTCAGGCGAAAGATATGCATTGTATAGCAAGTAACAGTACACAGAAGTCATTTTCCTAATTTTTTTTCTTTATTGAAACCAAAGTCTAATCAAGAATGTATACCAGTCTCCATATGTCGAACTAATGTTGGCCAGTTTTCACGGAGGATGTATTTCTAGTTAATCGTGGATACTTAATAATCCTGAAATAGAATTATCCGCTTTTGAAACGGATACAGTACAAGTCTTACTGACATGGCTTCCTCTTACAAGAATGAAAAGTACATTTTCGTGACTGAAAATTATTGTTTTTTACAAGTCAGATGTGAGACCTAGAGTTTATTTGTTGACCGATCAAGTAAAGTTTAGTAATAAGTGGACGCCTTGTAAGAAAGACGAGCTCATGTAACTGACTTATAATGTTACCTCCAGCACACCCGATAAAAAACTTTGTCTTCTAAGGGTGTTTGTCGCTTAAATTTGGAATTAAAGTTGTATTAGTATTGTTTATAACATTTTGTAAGTAATGTGCTTGAATAGTTTTGTGTATATTGAAGGAGAGTGGTCACAGTCTACTAGGTTAAAAACATGTATGATCATTCCTGTAACAAATTACATACGGAATGTTGGAATTTTATGGCAAAGATTGGCTTCATTTAGTAAACATATTAACACCATACAATACATATGAAAAAAGTTTTATGAAATAGATGCGTATACGATATTTATTTTGGGTATTGTTTAGTAGATATAGGAAATATTTCACGAATCAAGTGCGAAGAACTCACCACTCGTGACATTACAAACTGTTTCCACTTCACGAGTAAAATATTTCCTTAAATCTGCTAAAACAAGCAGATGTTCTTTTTACTGTATGTGTTTAAGACTAAATGCAACGATTTTCATAAATATTTGTATGCATTCTTTTCATTGAGGACCGCTCCAGGTGGCCTAGTGGTTAGAGCATCCGCCTCGGATGCGGGAGATAGTGGGTTCAATCCCCGGCTAAGTCATAACAAATACTTACAAAAATGGTACTAACATCCGCCTCGGATGCGGGAGATAGTGGGTTCAATCCCCGGCTAAGTCATAACAAATACTTACAAAAATGGTACTAACAGCTGCCTCGCTTGGCGCCCAGCATTAAGAGGTTAGTGTTAGGACTGGTCGGCCTGGTGTCAGGATAATGTGTCTGGATGGGACCTTATGCTACATGGCTGTGGCATGATGCCCCAGTGCTAGACAAAACTATAAACTGCCACACTGCAGACATCGTAGCGATAAGACTGAGAAATTGTTAAAGCTACGTTAAACATCTAACACACACACACACGCACACATACAGTTTTCAGTTTGATTACTCATTGAATTACTACATCGATTAAAAGAAGTTCCGAAATATTGCAATAATGTAGGGGATCGACCTTTTACATATTTCACTTGTATACGTAATGCTTCAAATTGTGTATTTTCAGAAATGATTGACTCTTTCAATGGAAAATAGAGGGTTTTTTTATAAGCACATTTCTTATGCGTATTGATATACTAAACATAATTGGGATGTCTATACTGTAAAAAATATAACAGTGCAGTCTCACACGACAGATTTCATAGCAAAAGATTTTTACAAAAAATGTTTAATATTTTAAAGTTGACATGAATAACTATTTTTGTTGTTTGGAGTTTGCATGCATTATTTTATGGCGTCTCCTTTGTGATATAGTACCATAGAGTAAACAGTCTCCTTACATTTTAAAATCTGTTCGTTCTGAGAGAGAGAGAGAGAGAGAGAGAGAGAGAGAGAGAGAGAGAGAGAGAGAGAGAGAGAGAGAGAGAGAGAGAGAGAGAGAGAGAGAGAGAGAGAGAGAGAGAGATTTGAATGACATGAGGAAGTGTAGATACATTTCGTAAACGGGAAAGGATGTTCCAAAATTGATTTCCAATTTTAACCTTTCTGCACATGCGCGAGCAAAACAGCGAATATGAAACGACTCTCAAGGAGTTAATGAGTTACGACATACAGTTTGATTGACCGAGCAATAATAACTAGTTTAACTCGAAACCCATACTTATTTGCTGTCCGATCAAGCAATATGTATGTTTTCCGTTTGTATGAGGATGTTTTGATAGTAATACTAGGTCATACCCTCTAGCAAAATTACATAACAACGTCACCCTCGTAAACAGGGCCTTAGAGAACGATCACGGGCCCTAGGGTCAAAAACACACGGGCCTCACCTAGTTCTTGTTTATACAAATTTTAAAAAAAAAATAAATTTAAAAAAGTGTTGTTTATCCCCGGATTCCCCGCCCCCTCCCCCTGTCGGACCTGCTCATGGGACGTGATTTGGTTTTGGTGAACAAGAATTGATTGCTCCTCTTTGTCAAGGCAATAAACGTATAGTGTCTCTTATGCCATAGGAAGAATACTTGTTATACTGATTTAGTAATCGAGTTCTATTTTAAAACTACTGTTAATATGAAAAGATGCATTAATGCGGAAGTCGCAATACATGCGTAAATGGACTGATCGAATCTATTGACACCATCATAACCCTTGACAGATCATAACATTTTTTTGACATTCGTAATAATCCCCATACTTAACGGATATCATTTGTATTAATGTATGTTTTGCATTGACCATCTTTATACGTTATTTCCCTAGAGTATTTATTGTTTTTCTTCACTTAAATCACTTTTCATACTGCTCAATCCTGTTTTACCAAATAATTCTCATTATCAGCAAAATTACTGCAATGTAGCCACTGCTCTGGTGATACCTATGTGGTTAGAACGTCCGCTAGGATGTTCGCGTGTTCGAACTCCGGTTGAGTCTTACCAAAGACTTTTACCTGGCTCATTCGCTCTCAGCATTAAGAGGTTAGTGTTAGGACTGGTCGGCCTGGTGTCAGAATAATGTGACTGGGTGGGTCTAAGGCCGGCCTTAGACTGGTTGAACCGATCTGGCACCATCGGGACCAGCACTCACAGGGACCCGCGCATTAGTTTTAAAAATATATATTGAGAGAAAATAATTTTAAAGCGATGGAAGAAATTGTTAAGCTCAGTATCATATAACTTGTTTAAGAGTTTATTTTTAAAGTCCATGCTCACAGGGGGCCCCGCGCATACGTCTAGGGGGCCCGGTCAAAATGATCCTAATCGGGCCCCGTGTTTGTTAAGGCCGTTCCTGGGTGGGACATGATGCCACAAGTTTTTGGCATGATATCCAAGTGTTAGGCATCACTACAAACTGCCACAATACAGACATCGTTACCAGGGCCGTAGAGAGCGATCACGAACTATGGGGTAAGAAGCACACGGACCTATCCTAGTTCTTGTTCAAGCAAAAAAAAAAAATTCTATAAAATTTAAAAGTGTTGTTCGCTCCGTATCCCCATAAGGGCCCCTGACCATATATCCCCGGTTGCCCCACCCCGTCTTGTCGACTTTGATCGTTGCGATATCACTCAAATTGATAAAGAAAAAAATACAAACAAACACACACACATCAATATAGGCTTGGCAAATTAGTTTATAAATAAAATAAAGAAAATCACTTAAGAGATTAATTTTAAAATGCAAACGCCATGACTTATATATATATATATATATATATATATATATATATATATATATATATATATATATATATATATATATATATATATATATATATATATATAACACATATGATGATTCAATATAACATCATAGATGTGTACTGATGTTTTATATTATTTTCAATGTATGGTCTTTCAAGATTAGATTATCAACAAAAGGACGTTACTCTGCCATCTGTTTACAAAGTAATGCAAATACATCTAAATTACTGATTATCGGTCATACAGCTATTTATTTATTTATTTATTTAAATTTATTTATTTTAGTTGCTATATTTGTAAGCTCGATAAAAAAGAAATATCGTTAGGGATTTTCAAGTATCCTTTACTCACACCAAGTTCATGCTATTTATTTGGTCGGAATTATTCGAATATAACGGGGAAAATGCAATACATAGCCAATCTTGCGTCTCAAAGCGAGAGAAAGAAAAAACAATAAAAAAATTTAACGAGGCGTTTTGAGTGCCATCGATCTGCCGTGTATCTGCCAACGGAATGAAGAAAGATGAGAAACAATCAGTCCGTCAAGCAGATAGTTTTAACAAAAGTGCCAAAGTAATCAGTGCCGAAATAGGCACTGATTGCACGTGCAAATGATATTTATCTCTAATTGGTTCATTCTGGGAATGGAAATCAAATTGAGTCGAAAGAAAGTTGACATATAGAAAAATTAGTGTCACTGTTACTGTTGGAAACCATTCCTTCGGCATTTTTTTCACCAAATAAAAGTTGATTTCACAACCATCATTGCCGTGTGATTTTATACATCTGTCACCGGAATAAATATTGTTCCACCATGCAGCAGTATTAGCCTCTTAAAAATACGAAAATGTTCAAAAAAAAGATTTTTATATGATTACCAATAAAAATTATAAGAAAAAAGTAAGAGAACAAAAAAGAAAGTTATTATTATTATTATTATTATTATTATTATTATTATTATTATTATTATTATTATTATTATTATTTGTTTGTTTGTTTGTTTGTTTGTTTGTTGCTGTTGTCAATTTCAATCAACAACGATCAATTCGCATTTACTGCCTGCCTTTTTAAAAGTGAAAATGTCTTTATTGAACCAAAATATGTCTGACTATTTTTCAGGAATAAGTGATTCAAAACTGATACAATAATCTTCAAGGCATGATTATTTGAGGCATGCATGCTGCTTAATCAAAACAAACTTAGCTGACGTAGCTCAGAGAGAGAGAGAGAGAGAGAGAGAGAGAGAGAGAGAGAGAGAGAGAGAGAGAGAGAGAGAGAGAGAGAGAGAGAGAGAGAGAGAGAGAGAGAGAGAGAGAGAGAGAGAAGGGGTAAACGTGATGTTGTCCTATTGGAATGACATCTACTTCCTGGGGCCATAAAACTATTACCAATTGACCCAAAGAAGTTCTAAAATATCGCATCCTTAATATGCTGCCTGTGTGACTTGTTGTCAAGCTTGATTTGGGGATATTTAATTAGATAGTACCTATCCTAAATAGAAATTCGGCCCCATTTCTTTCCACCCTCACTTTTATTTCATTATTCAATTGTGAGCACTACCGTTGCTTCAAACAATAACTGCTCGTTTTCCAGATCGTTTTGGATGTTTATGTCTTAGTCGAACCAGAACGGCAGAGTAATCATAGGTCTTTTAGTTGAGACATCATGAAACGACTAAACCCCAACAGAAAAATGTAAGCTAACAGAGTAACTTTACTTGCTATCTTTGAGAAATGTTAATCATTGGCTGCTGGAACCTGGGAATTTGGAAGTCAGACTGAGGTGAATATGCCCTTGTGTTGTCCAGAATGATATCCTTACTCTACAAAGGATAATTTTCTTACATTAGTTCTGACTACATATGATTATTTACTCTTTTATGGTTCGTTATAATATGACAGAGCAACGAAATACCGAGAATATATAATTAAATAGTGTGCAATCTTTTCTCTTTTTAAATGTAACCTGTATTGAAAAATGTTAAATAACTGACTTGTAATTTTAAAACTGTTATTTATGCCACACATTCTAAACGAAAACAAAGGGAATGTAAATATATTTACATTCTCTTGCAAATTCCTATTCTTTAATGTTTAAAATGAAGCAAATAAGAATAAAAGAGATACTTCCTTACTGGCCTCAAACTTCGTAGCTAATATTTCTGTATGCACCAGATTTACTCTTTGTATTTTTGTGTAACTTAATGGAATTCTTAACCGAGAAAAGTCACAATCTCGAGATAAGAAGCACGCATACGTACAAGTAAATACAGAAGCAATTAAAATGACAGCACTAGGAATCATCGTTGAATGCACTGTGTGACTTTCACTTTATACAACTGCCTTCAAGTGCTTAGGAACATACCATTTAATTATAGAAGAGGGTGGGCCTGTGATTGTTATGGA